ATAATGTATAAAATTAGATGTATTTCTCAAAGATCTGAAGCACAACGGTCTGATTTGATGTCTTAGGAGCCCAGGATTTCTCCTCTTGATGGACCACAACCTGAGGTCTGAAATAAGAAAGCAGATGGTCACCAGCATCTTCATGCTGGTGGCCACAGGGCTTTACGAGTTGGCTACACCTATTGCACAAGAGCCTGCTGAAGAAAATACTACTAGAAAAGTCATTTGGGGTGGTAAACCACAAATATTCCAAGCTCCCAGTGATGATTCAGGATGAAAGGATATTTTGAAATGCTGGAATTGCCTCTGGGACAGAAACGTGGAGTGGTGACGGTCTCCGAGGAGACAAGAGAGGACAACTCATACTCCATGTTTAATAAGAAAAAAATAAATAAATAAAATATTTTTTTAAAAAAATCCAAGTTGCTGGGATTTCTGGGTTTTTACACTTTTTTGTCCACGTCACTCCCTGAATTTCAAGAGGAAAGGCAAGCAAGAAGCACACCGACACTGGGGGTTATGAATTATCCTTCTTTTAATTTCACATGGTTTAAAATACGATATGAAATAAGGCTACAGTATATAAAAAACTCTCCAGCAAAATGATGTGCCAGCATCAGCAATTAAAACAAAACCAATTCCCTCCCTTCTTTAAGAATTCAATGGAGGAGGGACTTTTTTTTTATTGTATCATTTTAAAAAAAACAAAAAACCAAAAAACAAAACCAAAATAAACCAAAACACAACACACGGACACACACACACATCGCTACATCTCTAAGCTACCTCAGCTCAGGTTTGTTGTTTGGTTTGTTTTTTTTTTTTTTAAAAAAAAGCACCTGCTTTTTCCTTTTTTTGTCTTTTTTAATCTCGCTTTTAAAATTTTTTTCCACTTTTAAAAAATATAAATTATATGAAAATACAAGTTGGAAAATAGTCGAACAGCACAATATAACAATCTCTTTTTTTTTTCTTTTTCTTCTTCTTCTTCTTCTTCTTCTTCTATGTTTATCAGCTTAAAAAAAAAATAATAATCCCATGTGTAAAAAACAAAACAGAACAACGACAACAAAAAAAAAGACTTTTTTTTTTTCATTTTTCTTTTCTT